TTTATACGTACCTGTTTCATTTTAACATTGTATTTTATTTACAGTCGAGGGTAACCACGCGTCTACGCCCGCCGGCCTATGGGTGTTGTCCGCCTTTTTGTTCTTTGTAATCATCGAAAAACTCATCGCTACCGTAAACGAGGAAGCACCTATCATTGCAGAACAGCAAATCGATGAAACTTCAATCAAGAATGTAAATAAAGAAAAAGAAATAGATAATAATAATTGTATTATGATAACGAACGCTGAAAAAAACGATTTCCCGAAAGGATGTTTGAAAAATACAACCGAGGTAATGTAATTTTAAAAAAATAATAGCAGTAACATTATAATATTATTTAAAATATTAGCTAGATAGATAGATGTCTAATGATCGAACATATTCTCTGTAATAGGTACAGTTCCTGCAGAAACAATCCGGGAAAGAATTTACGCAAATCCCAAATAGCATTAAAGATCAGCGAAAGAATGGTTTTAAGGATGTTGACATTATGAAATCTGCATTAGCGAGCGAATGTCCTAATGACGAGTGTCCATTGGTTGACGAAGCAAAGAGTTGCTTGAAGAAACTTGCGAAGACTAATGGTTTCACATCGACGATTTCACGTGTTGACTCTCCATGCGTACATTCATCGAGCAATATTGTTAATCGTTCAATCGTATGGGTAAAGAAATTCATCTTCCGTAAATTTTTCAATCCCAAAGCCTTTCCCGGATATCTAAATCTTTTAATGAACTTCCTCGACAATTTTACTCACGGTTTATCTGTGGGTGGATCGTTCCTCATTTCCTTCCGCGTAGGCATCCTCAGCACGTTCACCATTCTGGTGCACGAAATACCTCACGAGGTTGGCGATTTTGCTATTTTGTTACGAAGCGGATTTAGCAGATGGGATGCTGCGCGGGCGCAGTTAATCACAGCTAGCGGTGGAATCGTTGGTGCTTTGGCAGCCGTCTCTTTTTCAAGTAGTCTAGGTAAATATCTTATAAATTTTATATTAATATTACGATGATATTATTTTGATGATATCTACTTATATGTTTTTCTTTTTTCAGAGGAAAGAACCAATTGGATATTGCCATTAACCGCAGGAGGATTCATACATATTGGTTTAGTAACCATCTTGCCTGATTTGTTGAAAGAAACGAACACGAAAGAATCTTTGAAACAACTTGGCGCTTTACTTTTTGGAGTTGTTATCATGGCTGCGTTGATGTACATTTAGGCCAAATATAATTCTTTAAAAAATTAGTTATGCAAAGTTTTGTTATATTAATGTAAATTTCAATCTCATTTTAACATGGATCAGTACAATAGTCTGAAGTTGCCATAATGTTATATAGTATTTTTTCTCTCTATATTATTTATTGGAAGAATGCAACTTGCTTTGCTAACATTACTTTTCAAGGAATGCGTTTCAAGAAGTATGTATAATATCAGTGCCAACAGGAGGCAATAATTACGTCATTAAGATGTGCTACATATTAACTTTGCACAAACATTTTTTTTTTGGAGATAATGTGATCATAGCATTAGCAAGTTCTGTGAATGTGACGATTCATAAATTAGTATTGTATATACTAATGCTAATATACAACATTAATGATCATTAAGAAACAAATTTCTACTTCTACGCTGCTATTCATAGAGCCTGTCAGCGACTTTTTGGTTCAAACAAAACGAAGTATTTGCAGCAAGATAATTCCTCGAAATCATTTGAATGTATATTCTCAATTCTTGAATATATTTTCAATTTTTGAGTTTTATTTAAAAAAATTTAATTTATCAAAAATTCTTCGCTATTTCTCCTTCCTTGATAAAATTTAATTTTTATTTCGAGATTATGCAGCAAAGACTGAATGACTTTTACAACTTACCTATATTTTGTATTAGAAATATTCTTCATCAAGTTTGTGAAATTATTCTTTCAATAAATAATACAGAGATAGAGAAAAAGAAAGAAATAAGAGAGCAAGCAAATGAACGAGAGCAAAAGAACAAGAATTTATATATTATTTTGCTCGAATTAAGTCACTTATATTGTCGTGTAATTGATGACAAGATAACTTGAGAAATATTGCTATATATCATAGAATTTATATTCATTAATTGATATTATAATTTAAGTTGAATTTTGGCCTCTTGATAAAAATGCCTATCCTATATACATCATGACTTCTGTATGTTTCGTTAGTAGTTGGAATTTTTGGAAAAATTATCAACCTTTTATCCAATTTTCATTTTAAAAAACTGGATTTTTAAAATTTGTTTATATAAAATCAAAACATTCATGTATTATTTATACATATACGTGCATAACTATATGAATATCTAAGGGAATGTATACTTTCCATCTTATATCTGATCATCTTTTTTGATAACTAGATAACTCAATATTAGTTAAAAATTTAATATATAATTAATTAAATGTGCTAATATTACAGGTTTATATATAATTTCAATTTTTTGAAATTTTCTGTTTACTATGAATATTTGCGTTAAAATGTAATAATAGTCGCTTCATAAATACTTGATCCTAGTTGTAGAGTATGTGTAAGTAAATATAGAGTAAATTGTATAAAAGCGTAGTCCTATGTTATCTATATTTAATAAAAAAATTGAAATTGTGTTTTGAATTTATAGTGACAATTGAAATTATAAATTTTGTGAAATACTGTTTTCGGTTGATTTTTAATCGATATTGCGTTGTTTGATTATTAAAAAGAAAGATCAGTCATATTACGATATATTAAATAATATCTATATTTATAAATTAAGGCATATTTATGTATGTATGTATGTACATATACCTACATAATATGAGATTTATTACAGTTATCTTGTCATAAATAATACGATGATATTATACATGAGGATATAAAAAGAAAACTGCAATATCTAAATAAATTCTTTTCCATTCATAATTCTAATAACATAATATATTAATTCTCTCCTTTCTGCTCTCAATTTTTATAAATGCCGCATTTAGATACAGCAATCTTTTTGACATGTTTAATAAAACTTGTAAAATCGCGGTAGATTACAATTTAATTATATAAAATCTAATAAGTAAAGTAAAAAGAAAAAGAGTAAAGTAAAAAATCAATTACGTTTCTTTTATCTGCGCGTTTACACTTTATATTGGTATCATGAAATATATTCTTATATTTTGATGCAAATATGCATGATGAAAGAGAAGCCTCAAAATAATGCAAAATATGCATAAATCTCTCGTGTATTTGCATCTTTGTCAATATTAAAAAAACTTGTACGATGATAATATATTTTCATTAAAATATATCAAGACGTAGTATGCATCGCGTTAAGTATATCTATAAATGATACCAGAACGTATCTTCTCGGATCGAGCTTTATATTTCATTAAATAATTAGATATATAATAAATTCAAATAAAATTCAGATAAATATGCCTACGGAATACAAACTTTGTTAAATTTCCAGTTTGTAAAAACGAATGAAACTTCCGAGACAAATTTAGCTGTTGTAATTTACTCTCGGTAGCCTCGTGTATCATGCGTAATGTTCATATTTGAAGAAGTGCAAAATAACGCAATCCTTGTACTTAACAGGTAAAAACAAGGTATTATTTCATTTTGAATGCATGATACAGGAGTGCTTTTTCCTGCATCTGTAAATAGAGACCCTGTTTGAAAGAAACTGATTAAACTGGTTAAAATTAACATCTTTTACAAAAATATTTTCTATGTATTATATGGTTATATGAATGAAATTGTTCATATCTATGTATCTCTAATCCATTATGATTATGTAAATAAAATGTACTATTCTGCGATTGTTCATATTTTTACTTCTTTTATATTAAATATATACTACAGGAACTTTCAAACAATAAGCTGTGTTATGTACAGTCAGTACAAAATAATTTATTAAATAATTCTAAAATAGGAGAAAAACACAACAAGTTATTCATATTTGCTACGTAATAGCCAAATAATTAAAGTCTTAACTACTATGTACACATACACTTCAGTCGTTTTATTTTTTTAACAAACTTTTTTTTAACTGTTTCACAAAATTGTGAGATATATGAAATATTAATTGAGCTTATGATTAAATCAAAATTAGAAGTTCCCGTCTCTTGAATTTGAGACATTCAAGTGTTTAGATACTTGATAGGCCAATAGAAATTTTTACAACAAAAAAAACTGCTAAACAAAAAATATAGCTAACATTTTGTTTGAATGCTAAATAAAAATTTGATATTTAATGACTATTTCATACTTTGGATGCAAGAGACGAGAACCTGCACGTTTCGTTCCTGATTCTGCAAGTATGATGAGCTATTTACAATAGAGAGGTATAATGTAAATATACGCTTAGAATAACAAAATATTTTCTTACACTTGATAAATCTTTTTAAGATTTATAAATTATAATTAATCTAGCCACAAAATAATTTTCTCTTTGTCAGGACTTTATTGCAGTGATTGTTACAACAATGATAAATTTTTTCTTTTCACAAAATTTTTCATTATGTGAATTCGTCTCACTAAAATGAATCTCTTTTATATAAGCCCTATGCTATTATAGTTGATGCTATTGCACATGATTGCATATTAACATAAGGCTGGGATTTAATTTATAGTCTTTTTGATACACTTTCGTATATTTTCAATTATCTTAACTCAAAATATTCATAATTCATCATGAAGTGTTTCAAAAATAGTAATTTTCAATCTTTCAATCAGTAATATCAAACTCTTTAAAACATCAGTTTCATCCACGGTAAGTTTAATATTAGGATTTTGATAAAAGTGCAAGAGATTATCTATAACAGGTAAAAGCAAAAGCTTAATGTTTTTAAATTCAGTTTTACAAATAGGAGATACCGTGATCATGCTGTCCGAAACTACTTCGAGAAAATCATTATTTTCTATGCTAAAGTGGCCAGTTAGCTTTTCTTTGAAACATTTGATCATTAAATTGCTTAGGAGTTTACAGTAATCGTGCCTCAGTAATTTTAGCTCGAAATCCGTAATAGCATATTCCCTCATTTTCTGCTGACGCTGCTCGACATCATAGATTTCTTCTAAGTTTCGTCTTTCGATCGTCAGATCGTTGATTAATTTCATTGCTTTCATTTGTATCTGTAATTGATCGTCGTACAGAATTTTTCCGAGTAATTGCAAACCACCGTGATCAATCCAAGCTTTCTGAGCTGCAGGAAACTGACGTATTAAGGCACTTAGAGCAAAGAGACATCTTGATTTTACTTCAATTTTATTATTTGTGGATAAGACATGCAACACTTTTTGGATAAAATCATTTTCCAATGCCTTAGCTTGCACTTTTGGATTTGATTGAGCAGCTGCTCCTAAAAGACGTAATGCTTCTGATTTTATTTCATTGTTCGTTCCATTAAGACATGGTGATATAATTTTTGTTAGCCTATGATAGAAAAAAAGAGCAAAAATATTAGTGGATTGTTCTTGTCACTATGAAAAACTTTCTTCACTTATTTATACTTACCCATCCATGTCTGAGAATATTTTGGCATTGTCAATTTGATGAAGAAGATATTCTAAATTATTTAAAATGTCCAATACTTCTTCAGTTTCTATAGTAGTTAATGTTCCTGTAGTGATACTACTTTTGTAAGACTGAAATTTTTGAAAAAACCTCTTTAATAATTCGGAATCGCTCGTAACATTGACTTTAAGAGCATTAAGTTCTTCTTTTAAAGTTTCATAAAAACGTTTGAAACGCTTTTCAGTTTTTGGTCTGTCTTCTCTATCCTAGAATAAAAAAGAAAGAAAATTAAAATTATTTGTTAAATAGAAAATAACAATCTAAATCCATAATCTAGATAAATAATTATTAACATAATTTCAATTTATAATTAAAATATATGGATGCAATTATACATTAAAAGTACTGGAAGCAAAACCTTAAGTATAATTTCAATTGTTACATGCAACTATATTCATATAATAATCTGTTTAATTTTTTCTAAATACAAATTAAAAATCTTTAAACATTAAAAATTAACAAAAAAATAGTTACATTCATATTTGATACATCCTCTGCTTCATTTTGCTTAAGCTTCTTCAATCTTGCTTTCAATTCATCAATAGGAAATTTCAAAGATTCTGAAACTTTCTTTATTTTCACAGGATCTGGTTCTTCATTTTCTAAGACCGATTTATCTGGATGTAACGTCAATGACTTAGAATTTGATCGATTTACATTTTCGTCATCCTCTTCTGCATCCTCCATCAATTTAGCTTCTGTTACTCCAGTTGCAAAATTATGCCTTATATGAAGTCCTTTCGGAATAGGAGTTCCTAAATAAATCATATTTTCAAAATGATTATTAAATAATTTAATGATATTCAGTACATTACATTTAATTTAGTCAAATATTTTACTATTTTAGTATATTTTTGCATATTACAACACATTTACATACTAATTTAATTTTACTCATATGACTTAGTTTAATTTATACTTTTTTAAAAAATATAAATTCTATTTTTGTAATTACAGATCCGAAAAAATTTTCGAATATATTTCATTACATTTTCATACATATTTCAAAAGTGGAAAATAGAATTTTGGAAAATTTTGATACTTAAAAAAAACCTATTAATTTTAATGTAATCTGGAATGATTCCCTCTCATGTTTAGACACGTAATCCAATCCGGACGTGTACGTCACTGAAGCACCCGAACTGCAACCAGACTTCCCACTGTCGTCTCTATTTGAAACGGTTAGAGATCCTGAATTGGTCTTCAAAAATCTAGCATAGCACAAAATTGCGAAATTTCCAATTTCGTTCGTCGGGAATGGGACGTCGCGTTTCCGCGGGAGGGATTTCGCACATACGATGGATTTGACTGACGTGGTGTTCCGGACGAAAAGACGGCTCTCTGGTCGGCGTAAAGTAGTCCCACATCGGGGTACGACGGACACGGCCCCCGAATGGAATACCTACCCTTCTTCACCGTTTGCCACTCGTGTGTCGCCACGAAGGCGCTCTCGTTTTTTTCGGCGTCGCCGAAAATCGCGAGCGACAGGTAGAAGAGCAAGATGCACGTGTATGCGGCACGCATTCTGACAGGAGCACAATGTTGTCGTCGTTGTCGTCGTCGGTTACCGGAGAGCCTGCCGGACGTCGGGCTGCGATTTTTTCACAGGCGGACTGTTCACGTGGGCGTGCGATCGTCCGTCATCAGCTGGCGGAAATGCGACGTGAAATTGTCAGAAGGCCCCACGACATGACATTTGTCGCTGCCGACGAGAATGTTCACGTGTTGCGTCCGCTATTTATTGCGTCAATGTGCCGACGAGTTGTGCCGATGAATAGTGCACGCGGTCGCCACCAGAGCCGAGTCTAGCCAATAGGAACAACGCGACGTTGCCGCGTCTGCTATTCGAATTCTGCTTTCGTGTGTTTAAAATACTGAATAATTCATAGTGAAATATAATTTTGCAATCACTCGTTACTAAATTAGCAGTAATTTACGTAACGTTAATAGAATTAGTGTACCGTAAACTTGTACTGTTTTTTGCGTGTGTTATTGCGAATGCTTTCGATCAATCTTCGTGTAAAATTAGAATTTTTTTTTTAATAATGAATGGCTTCTATTAAATGACACTTTGTAATATTCTACGACCCTTCAATATTCAGTACGTCACTGAACTAATTAATTAATATGCAATGCGTAATATAAAAGGGCTAGTTTGAATAACAATATCAGTTATAGGTTTGTTTTCTGTTCCTGCATTGGACTGCACTAAAACTTTCTATCTTGCTTTTTTCAAATTTCAAATATTTACTTTATTCATTCATAAGTACAGCGAGTGTACATTAATTCAGCTACAAATACAGAAGGTATCTTTATTCCTCGTGTCTCTGCAGAATCTTATATTTAAATAGTGCAAATACTATCCGGATTACCCAAATCACCGACGTATCGTATAAAAAAAAATTGAAATAAATCGAGAAATAAATACGTCATCGGGATATATTTCGAAGAGATAAAGAAAATCGAAGAGGAATTTTAAATATTTTTTTTTCGAGGAGATGCAGCTGCACGCGTTTCGTTTCGGCGCCTTTGGCGGGCGACCAGCGGCGACAAATAGGTGGCAACGCCGCGCGGACACGATCGACCAATCGGCGCGCGGAACGTAGTCTAGGCGCGCAAGAGCAGGCTACGCGAAACTCATTTACTACGCGATCGTGCGGCGACTGGCACGTGTGGCGGCGACCGTTCCCTCGCGCAGTAACACAGTAACCGTTGCGCGCGCGGCGTCACATTCTCTCTCTCTCTCTAACGTCATACTCCATCATCGCGCACAGCACGCACACGTCCGCCGCCGTTTCGCTCAGACACACGCATCACACGCTGACGAGAATCCGTTAATAGCTGACCGATCGCCATGGCAGAGGAGTATCTATACGGTAAATATGAACGGCCGCGGTGCCGCGATGGCCGTGACTCCGCTATTTCGCGGTGCACGCGGATACTTACGTGTCGTCGGCCATTTAAGCACGAAGGGGGTGCGCTGACCGAGACGCCGGCTAGACCTTCGGCCATTGCGGGGATCTGCCGCCGTCCCCCATTGTCTCCCCGGAGCCGGCGTGCACGGTGCGCGACGGGTATAATCGGCGTCCGTGGCGATATGGCGGCACCCCCGCTCGCCGGCCGGCCGGCACCCGTTCCGTCGGCCTCGATAGTGGCGAATACGATTCCCGTGGATTCTCTATTCTTTTTCTCTTCCATCCAGGAATCACCCTCGAGGGACCGAACGCGAGCGAGGTATGGGACCCGGAACACAAGAACGACGATTCGGACGGCGCGGCCCAGCACATTGGCGCCGATCAGAAGCTCATCATAAAGATGGTGAGTGCCACGTTCCCGGCGTGACAACAGGACCGTCATCATCGTCATCATTGTCTTAGTCTTTACATCGGCAGCCTTTCTCCGCCTGCGGTTTTCCCGTTATCGAGAGGAGCTGACGTGTGAGATGTCGGTTTCACCGAGTTTCAATATTTCCGGTGTATCTTCCTTCGTCGACTACGACGCTGGTCAATTTTGTCGTGATGTGAAACCGCGTGCGTAATCTCGTCCGGATTTTCCGTATCGCGTCGGTTCGGCGATATCTTGGTTTCTCTTCCTCGTGGCGCTCATCGTCGTCGTCGTCGTCGTCGTCGTCGTCGAGAAACGTTTTGCGCGCGAAACTTCAATCACCAGTGATCCCTCGTTCATCGTTTTCCGATCGAGAGATTTCTGATAACTGGGATGACAGTCGATCGGAAACGCGAACGTTCTTCTGCCGTACGCGATTCATTCAAAACGTTTCGAGATATCTTTTTTCTATCTTTTTGTATCTCGTTACGAGAAATACGGTTGATTCATCTTTCCATTATAATCTTGGAAAAGTTTGATGCTTGGCGCCATTTTTTTCACAACGGCTTCGCCCTTCCCCCCATTTTGCTTTAGATAGGACTCTATTATGTCGCGGATAAAGATTACAATGGAAATTTCGTGGCTCAGAGGATTTGAACGGGCGAGGATCTGCCGATTCATCCCGTGGGCCGCGATGTTATGGATTGAATTGCAGGATTCCGCGGCGTGCCGGTTTTCGAATTGCACTCTCCCCCATATCACGAAGTAAATAACGAACATTAAGACGCTTATCGAATTATTTACGCAAATAATTTCATTTGCATATACTACATATCCAGTTTTAACATTGTTTTTTGAGTAAATCTTTTAATAGGAAAAAAATAGAATCTCATTTCTTATATCTTTATAATTATTTATTTGCAATCCTTATTTGCAATCCTTACAGTTGATTAAATTGGAAAGTTAAGAAATACGGAATTTTTTTCTTTGTTTATTCTTTCTTTTATATGTGAATGTGATTGTTTATATATTCTATATTACGTATTTTTTGGAGAAAGTATTTTCTAACCTAAAAAGGTCAAATTGATCGAAATACTTTCTGAGCACATGAAGAAAAATTAAGACAAAAAAATGTACAAAGTATAGTTAGATTACAATAGTTTAAATTTATATTTTCTTCATTTTTTATTGATAAATATTTTTAATTGTTATATTAGTTATATTAGTAAAGTTTGAATGTCTCTCTTTCTCTCGCTCATATATTTTCTCTGCATGATATTTATTATAAATTTTTCAGGCTCTTTTAGGACCAGAGGCTAAACCTGGAGAACTTAATGTTTTACAAGTTGAGGCAATGGGGTTGAAAGGACCCATTAAAATTCCAATTGCTTTGTTGGAAATGGGAAAAACAGTACAGATCATTCTTGATCTAAGTTTCCCAGATCCCCCAGTTACATTTACCCTGGTGAAGGGCAGTGGACCTGTTCATATAGTAGGGCATAATCTTCTTGGTAGGTATCTTTGCAAGTTTACTCGCAACTTCCTAAAATCTTAAAATTAATATTTAGAAAACTGTTGACCATTAAGAAATTATGGCAACTTTATATTATATATAGTTTTATGCTATGTGATCATTAAATATATTACATGCTTGAGACGAGGTTATAAAAGTCGTCCTATATACATTTGATTTTATTGCAAATCTACCACAATTTATTTTTATTAGTAGTCTGTTACTTTGGAATTGAATTTGCATTATTTGTTTTGTTTTTTGGTAGGCTCTAATGCCGATAAGGAATCATTCTTCTACATTTCTAATATATATAAGGTGGCATATCTGTAAAAATCAAATCTGGATTTTTCTGCCTGAGGTGTAATTACTTAAACATTCGACTATCCGTTTCTGTGATATTTCATTATTAAATATATATATATATATATATAATGAATACATAAATGATACATGTGTGTGTTGCACACGATTCGAAATGTTTATGATATATACTATACATATACGTATATACATACATACACATGTATATATTTATATATATATAAAACTTTATAAAAATACACATTTCTACTAGATCAGTTATTTCTTAAATGGCATATTAATTTATTAATAAAAAATTAGTATTTCGTTTTTTATTAATGTTTATTTAGGAGAAAAAATGTATTATATAAGGCGATACAACTAAAATTGGACGCCTTCTTAAAACAATTTTATTTTATAAAAAGTAAATTTTTTATAAAACATTTTATTTTTTCTTATTATTTGTTGAAAATATATGTAATATAATTATTTATATATCAATTGTTTTTGAATATATGATATTTCGAATAATATAAATATTTTGAATATTTGAATGTGATGGATTTTTACTTTGTATCGTATTTAATATTTTGTAAATAATTTTGTAAGTACAGTATATAATAAATTTTAAATGTGTTTATTTGTATAAAAACATTAACATATTTTTTATTTTAAAATGATCACGATGAACAAATGATTAATTGTTCTATTGATTTATTATTTATAGAAGAAACATCGTATTGTAGTATATAATTGATAACATGAATTTTTCCAAACTTTTGTTTTTTCTCTTATATCAGTGTTTTATTATTATTTCTTAGGTGCCCATATCGAAGAATTCGATGATATGGATGATGAAATGGAAGAAGAAAATATCGATGATGAAGACGATGAAAAGGTATGACTTACAAGAACATATATATGTATTGAAAAATAGTTGAAGACATATATTCTAACAAATTATTATTACTTTATAATAAATTTAACAGAGATACAAAATTGCATGTGCATGTATAAGTGATATATGTATGTATAAAAATTATGGGTGAGGCGATATATAAGTACGATAAATTTATCATTAGCAAGAATTTGTACAGAATGCATCTTTTATAGAATAATATACGAATATGTTCTTTATTAAGTTATACTTTATTGTAGAGAATCTCTATTAGTATATATATTTTTAATTTATTTTTACTTCTTATGTTGCTATAAAATAATGACAATATGAAATTATATACATAATAAATATCCATTTCAGGCACCGCGAAAGAAACGAAAGCTCTTATCGGAAAATAAGAAAAACGGCGTTTAATTAGTATATTCAAACGAAGAAATATAAACTACTAAAATGTTAAGATAAAAATAAACAGTGTGTTATAATTAATATTCTTTTTTAAAATGACAATATTGCACTAAGAATCTTTTAGTTTATTTGAACATTTTCTATCTCACTTTATCTGTTAAGAATTTGAAGAATTATAATTTAAGAGAAGGAATAGACACGAAGTGAACCATTTTACGAAAAGTCATGAATGTATCTCTTGTGTTTTCACATTCATGTTTCATGTTTTATTTTTGTAAAATAAATTCTTTTTTGCAAACAGTTGCTTTTATTCCTTACTAATCATGCTTCCTTTCTTACCATTGTAAAGTGATACATTTGGATTATTATTTATTAGGTCCTAGGAAAAATCAAGCATTATATATTAACGCCGATATTGGTAAATACAAATTATATTTTTGACAGTCGAAGTTATTAGGTTAACAAAATGTATAGATTATAATAAATTTGAAATTTTTATTCTATCGATTTAGATGCATGTGGTATCGATAATTATAATGTTTTGTTTCAAATTTCGTTTAAAAAATAAAAAGAGATAAGTGAATTATATGTGAAGCCTCCCCATATTTATTCTTCGTGTATTGCAATGTTTGAATATTGTTAAGGATGGAAATAATATCAATAATTTTATTTCCGTGTAGAATTCATTTCCGTGATTACATTTTATATTTCTTGTAGGATCCTGAAGATGAAGATGATGAAGATGACGAACCTAAAAAGAAGAACCCTAAATTAACAGCTGCAGCTAAATACAAAAATCAGGCTAATAAGAACAAGAAAAAATAAACATGAGCCTTAACATTATGGAAATAAACTCTTAAGTTAAGATATACATAAGTTCATCATTATCATCCGCATTTATGCGAATCTAGCATCATTTCATTACCACGACAAAAAGATTGCCTTCCACTTTTAAAAACACAACTGGACCAACAAATGTTAATAAGGCAATTATATTACATGTAATTTTAAAATTGGATGCTTTTGATAATTTACTCAGGAAAAGGATATAATTTGTTTCAAAAAATATTTTTTATGCTAAAATAAACATATTTAGCTAATCTTTTTGTCTTTTTTTCAAAGGTTATTGTTTATTATTTCAATAATACATATATAAATGCGAATGTATGCTACTAAACGTTTGGATATTTTTTTAAAATGATATATTGATAATGTTAAATTCAATGTTTGAACAGAATTTACTATTATAATGTTTATAACGAGACTTATAAATAAAATTCTCTATTTTCTAGAAGTAATTTTATATCGGAATAAAATTGTATGATTTGGAACAAAATTGAACATGTTTTTGATAAAATTTATGCCATTGATATGAAAGAGTTTTAAAATGAGTGACCTAATTCGTTTAATTCAATTTTAAAGAAAAAACGATTATATCAATCATTGGCCCAGTTGTTGTTATTCGAAAATTTGTGGAAAGCACAAACAGATTTATAATGAAAGTTATATTTTGTTTTTTTTTCCTTCAAAATCTTGGTCATATCGATAAATTTCCAGAGATGCAAAAAAATATTCTAATATAGTCGTTTAACGTGAAAAATAGTTCTTATGTAAGGAATTGCGAAACTAAGACTTCAGTATAATTTATTTTCGTGTGTACAAGATGGGGAAAGGATTATTAGTCATTCAAAAATCCTAATTCTAGAATTTTACTTATGTCTAAAAATATCAGCATTAGAAGAAGAAACTATACACGTCATCTCAACATTCATTCCATTTGATGAAAGATAATAGAAACGGGGGTTACAGGTGTACTGGGTAAAGAAATGCTCTTACATCAGTGTCTCATATGCTATTAAAGCATATGTAATGCATATGTATAAAACACGTGCGATTGATAAGTAGTCTGTACACCTATTTTGTACATATACGATACAATAAAAAATTTCACAACTTTTAAAATCCGTATTGCTTGGGTAAATATTTATTTGAGTGTAACCTGCCATATAGTATAATAAAAAATATCTTTAATGTAATCTATGTGAATGTAGCGGTCTCTCAATAGAAGGAATAATTATTTTGTTTATTTTTAAAATGGAAAGCGCATTGATTTATTTTGTTACTTATTAAATAGATTCCTCGTAAGTTTATTTCGAATTTATAAAAACAAAACGATATTCGCAATTAAGATCGATATTTTTAATTTCTCACTTATCTCTAATGTCATTAGTTATGTAACTGACAAGTAATTTTTGCATATAGGCTAATTGCACAGAATTAATGTATAACGTGTCAAGTTTTCTTTTATCTAGTTTTACACATGAAGAAAAGCTACCGTAATTCTCTTTCAACATTCTAATTTAAAATAAGTTATACAGAGGTGGACATAAAAATGTAAGTATCATAATTCTTGAATTTGAATAGTGTAATGTATGATATAACCAATGAAATAATATAACAAATAGAACATTAGATACACCTAAAGAGATATTACAGATTGGTGTTAAACCATTTGGAGTTAAACATTGTGATATGCAGAATGTTAACTTGAATAAATGTTCGACTAATGTGGAAAACAAAGTTTCTCATGACCCTGCGGGATACATAGTCAATCATGAAACTTTACAACAAGTATGTTAGTATTTTACTTGATTACCAGTTGATAATAATTTGCAAACTATGAGAGAATGTCAAATTTATATTCATTTATAACATGAAACATAGGTGAATAGCTATTTGTCAGTAAATTGTCTTGTTCGAAATATTTTTATTCGCAACTTGAATATTTTTGAATGTTATTTTTCTTATTATATAAGAAATATACTTATGATATTAATTGTACACACCAAGGTAACAAAATTGACTGAAGTTGTAGCAAATTTAAAAGATGCTGTGCAAATTAAAGAAGTACAATTAGAAAATACTCATCGAGAGAAAAGTAGATTACTAGCAGAACTGAAAAAACAACAAAGATGCAACAGAAATCTTAAACGTAAGAGTTATTATGAGCAGTTCATAAAATATATATACTTATATATAGAATTTGAGGTATTATTTGATTGCTTTTCGAGTTTATTCAACATGACATAGTTACTAAAAAAAAAAAATAAATATATATATATATATATATATATATTTTTCACATATCTTTATATTCAAGTGTAAAGTAGGAATTTTAATAGAAATAATTTTATTTGGGTATTTTAAACAATTCAGAAATAAAATACATTTATACAGGTATATATTAATTATTTTTATTGTAGAACAGTTAGATGGCGAGAGATTTTTCTATCAAAGAGAGAAAGATCATTTCATCGAAGAAATGCAACGATACAGAAGCAGATATACCGGCAACATGTCGAAGTTTCAGCAACAACGGCATAAGGAGATCGAACAAGCACTAGATACTTTAGAAAGAGAAAACAAACAGCTCAGAGCAGAATTATCAGACAAAAACGAAGTTACGTATAATCTATGTATAAAGTTTCTTCGTATGAAGCATGCTAAAGATACATTGAGATATAAGTTGGATCAGTTGTTGCACGAGCATTTGTTAGTAATGGCGGAAATGATGGAGAAGCTGGACGAGACGAGAAAGGAACTTAATTTCATTGTGTCCGAAAAATTTCAAGAACCATTGCCTCTTAGTAAAGCTAAATTTTTACAAGTAAACAATAACATACAGTCTCTGCCTCTCTCTTTCTCTCTTTGCTCAACAACTTTTAAATTAGACTATTTATTATATTATATAAGATATGTATGAATTATTAGGTTGTACAAAGGAATAATAGATTGATGTATGAAAATGCAACGTTAAAAGTACAAATACATCAACTTACGCAGAATATCGAGAAATTGAAAAGCCAAAAGCCAAAAAAGATTAATGTAGACGCTAAGATCATTGAGAAATTAGCAACGCAAAGTAATACAAGGTACGAATGAATACGAGAGATTATTTTATATATTTTTGTTGTAGCATCATGTATTTTAAATCAAATTACATCTAATATGATTTGATGTACAAATTATAACTTCTCATATACTCTTCATTTTTTAGATCAACTTTAGATAAAGTAGAAAAAATCGCTTTGCTTTCTAAATTGTCTCAATTTATTGAACAACCTGAAGCTGTGGAAATGGACTCGCGAGTGCATTCTGAGAATGCAAATGATCGCACATTTAATAATGCAAAAGATGTCGGAAGCGATTGTAAAGAATTTCACACAGAATGCGCTCGAAGCGCACCTGAGATTGTGGAAACGTCCGTTATTTCTCGAATAGACTAGACTATCTCTATAGATGAATTCTAGAATAAATGATTTTTCGAAATACACAACATGTATACGTGTATAAATATATTTATGATTTTATTTTATGATTTTAATAATTTATTTATTTTAATAATTTTGATTTATTTAATTTTAATTTATTTATTAATTTTATGATTTAAATATACTTATGATTTTATACTTATGATTTTAATCTGTTAAAATAATGCGAGGAATACAGAACAATAAAGAAATCGTTTTTATTTGCTAATGATTGCCAATAATAAAAAATAATAAAAATAATAAAAAAATGTCTTCATAATCGAGAAATAAGGAAAGCCGCAATTTAAGCAAAAAAGATCGTTTCTAGTTTGCTAGTGATTACCAATATAAATTTCTTTTATATAATCAAAAAAACAAAGAGACAAGTTGCAATTTGAACAAAAAAATCATTCCTGATTGCTTACGATCATTAGTATAAAAGGATTCTTTATATAATTGAAGGAAACAGTCATAATATGAACCGAAATGTTAACTAAAATGATTAATATATCATGACAATTGTATATTTTTATATGTTTATACATCAACATTTACATACTGATTAATTATTTATATGACTTTTTTTATACATAAATCTTAAATCTTGCATATCTTCATCTTTTTATATCTTCTGTTGATATCATAATGTGATGTAAAACGAAATTTATCTGCGGACGGGATTTTTTTTCTATCAGATGATATATTGAACAGAAAAAAATTGATTAAAATTATTATCTGAGTATCTTAAGATTTTTCGTATCCCTTTTTCGTTCTTCGTCGAATTCCGTTCTTCTCGTTTTTATGTCAAACTATATAAATTTTAGCGCATATTTTATTTTTTTAATTCGATATCAACGAGATTATCGACTTGAATTTATTTTCTGCAATCTTGAGTCGAACCAAAATAGGATTCTCGGAGTAAGTGATAATTATTCCGCTAATTATTCTGCTGCGTTGTCATTGTTGGGCTATTTTCTTCACGTGTCTATTTGCGATGCATATTATTAGCAGTCCTATTAATGTAATTATAAAAGATACATTGAGATATAAGTTGTATTAATGTAATTATAAAAGATTATGTAGGAAGTGATCGGTGGCCAATACTATTTCATACATAAGCCGATCTGTCTCTTTCCTTCTCTCCAATAAAAGGTATCGACAAAATGCAGAAGGAACGTCAATCCGAGAATGAATTCGTGGGCGTTCGGTTATTCTATATCGGACCATGACGGCGATTAAAGAGATAAAAAAAAAAGACGCGGTGTGACGCATATACATTTCTGGCGCTCCTAAATGAGTATTTCATGCCGTTCGTCATGTATGCACAATCTCTCTCCGTCATCGATTCTTGGAAATATTACTTTCGCTAATGCGATTGCGAGGAAAGACATTGTTAAATGACCAAAAAAAATTCATGTTAACGAACAACACTTCCGTCAGTGCGTTTCGAGAATAAGTTTGCTGCTCGGAACACAGCTACCTGATATTTCTACCTTATTGCGGTTAATTATCGAGATTCGCCGAGGCCGAAATCGCCGATATGGAAAACACGTCTCCGGAAAATGGATTTCCCAACGTTCTCCTCTGGTCATCGGAATCGAGCGGAAGCGGCGAGCCGCCGAGTTTGCCGTCGGAGCGAACCGTCGCCGCTCACCCCGTCGTTACGGCGGGAAGGGAAAAGAAATGCGGGTCAGCGGGTGGTTAAGTGCTACCAGGGAAACCTTTAGGACAGTTTACCGCTTCGGCCGCTCCGATCGTTTCCAAGTCTCCATTAACAAGTACGGCGGGTTGCGAGAGTCGGACACCCATCGACTTGCGACGACGTCACACGGGGGTTGTTTTTCGCGGCTACCGGAACACCGCATGGCTTGCGCGCGCGGTTCCACGGAGGGTGGTATACACGGTGCGTATTAAAATGAAATGAAATGTCAATGTGCACGTGTATGTACGTGCGTGTACGCGCGCGCGCGCGCGTGTGTGTGTGTGTGTGTGCGCGTGCGCGCGCGCGCGCGCAAAATCCGCGAATCCAAACTGCATCGACAAAGCTTGTTCTCTATTCTCGTCACATATTTAGCTCTAAATGCAGTGACTGTCCGAGTTTTATTTGTCGCGCGAATATCGCATTCGCGATGCTAAATATGCATTGTGAAGAATAATGACCTCTGGCTTTAACCTTTTCAATGTATGGAGGCGAGCACACAAGGATAACTGTGTCCTAATGCTATCGCAAATGATAATTGAGTTGGACAATTGACAAATTTTCTTCTTTTGTATCTAATATACCTCCAAGATATATTTTGAGCACGCGACCTAATATATTTGCAATATCTTTTCTACACAATGATAATGCTACTTTTTTAAAATATTGTATTTGATATTTAAGCCAAAAAGAGATATTCCTTTTTTAACATTTTTTTCTAGTAAAACATCGTATTTTTTATATAATAGGAATGAAATTTAAGGATCAATGAACTGTGCTTAGAATAGAGCATTATTTTCAGGATTATTTTCAGGACACAATTGAATCCCGTTCGGCGTGAAATGCTTGAAAATTAGTCGATGCAATAGAAGAATCAAATTTAAACAGATTTAGATTGCGGATATAAATAGATGTATTTAAATGTATTTATTATAAATAAGTATAATTAAATTAAAATTTAAGTAAAAGTAAATACACGTATTAATTAAGTCAGATCGAATTAATCAATATAATTCTGAATATATATATATATATATATATATATAATATTTATCCAAGAAATATTATATATATATAAATTAGATTTAATACTAAATGTTAATACGTGATGGATAAATATTTCTTACCGATTATCTTTATGTGAGCAGAACTTCATCGCGTTTAAATCAATATGACTATAAGAATGACTATGTGATAGGAATTAATTTGTGCTTAAGTACTTGCTGTTCACATGTTATATAATGTACATTATCTATTACATAATATATATTACTAGCGAATCAACCGAAATTCTACTTGTATCTTCCATAATCCTTTTCATTACATTATAATAGAATAATAGAAATCGGAAACTATTGCAAGCCGAAAGAAAATTACTATACTTATTCCATCGAATAAAAATTGCAAAAAGAGAAGATTAAGAATAAACTCTTGACTAAGATTACATTGATTTAAGTTCGTATTTGCACAGTGATGTAGTTAACTTAATATTTTATTCGCTCTTTTTTGAAACTTTTATGTACATTATAATCTTAAGGTAATTAAATTATAAATATATAAAAATATATTTTAATATATTTTGCATGAAAAAGTATCAAATTAACAAACATCATAATATTGCTGGCTCTAAAAATCATTTTTTTATAAATAAATATAAAATAAATATAAATATGCATTCTTTTCTTAAAAAAGCAAAAATAAAAATCAATATAAAAATCATATATTATTATATATGCGACATGCTTTCCCCGGTATTATTATCTAACTTCATTTATGCAATTACATTTTAAATATTGTACAATATTAGATCTCTTCGTTTATATTAAAATGTCAGTAAATGTTTTTAAGTAAAAGCTTTTTCAAGTTAACTTGCATAGCAAGAATTAAAATTAAAGAAAATTTACCATTATCGTAGTTCTATTATCGCGCTTGCCTTCGGCATATTCATCCAACGATTTTTTTCGTCATAAAATGCGTATAGTAACTTGCAATAATATTTTTCTCCATATCAACAGGGTAAACATATCAACAAATCTGAACAGAAAATATATTTGAAATAAAAGACGAAATCACGAAAATATTCATGTTTTTTCCAAGATTGCATATTTAAAATAAACATTCTTGTGCAAAATGAAAACAAGTATATGTCCATTCTAAATTTAATATACAGTGAAATTATTAGTTCATACATAGTGAATTTTTGTGTAATCTTTTTGTTAAATTTTAATTTCCGAATAGCAAAATAATGCAATATTGCCATGAGAATTAATAATACGAATTATACCAATTACTTCGTAACAGCAAAAAATATATCTCATATGCGTGTACGATAGAGACAAAAAGTATTGGTATTTATGGATTATGGATTATGTCTTGTAACTATTCGTTATTTATTTTATTATAACAATTCATTATTCATGCAGCAATGAGCAGCAATCTCAAAGCGAAACTCGTATCACGTAATACGAATTTCACCTACACGTAGAGTAAAATTTAATTTTAATGTTGCTATAATTAGCTAATTAATCGTACAGCCACTAATCATGTAATGAGCAGTTTAATATTTCATAGCTAAATAACAGCCCTCTATCGGAATACTTGAAAATTTTCATAATTCCAATAAAGATATTTGTTTCTTAAGCATTAAGGTAAAGGACGATAAGAAAAAAATGTTATATATATTTATATGTAATTCTTATAAAATGTAAATTGTTGTATGTAAATTGTTGTAGAATATAGTCTATCATTAGGTTAAATTTCTCTCAACATGTAACTGGGACGGAATAACGTTTCTAAGAATATTCGAACGAGCGGCCGTTCATCATGTGGGATGCGGCGAGCCGAAAGTTATTAGTCGTTAATTATCGGCCGTACGTGGCACTGTCAGCCTTTTAATTAAATCGACTTTTTTTTTGTCGCGCGGAACATTTGTCGCATTTGCAATTCTTCAATAGCAATCATTTCCGGGAAAAAATACAGACCGATACAAAAATATTTTGCGATAGTCGTTGATCTGTGAATATTAAAAATTAAATATCCACACTCCCACACACACACACACACACACACACACACACACACACACACACACACACACACACACACACACACACACACACACTATACTACTACTACT